AGGTGATTTCCAGTAAAGTTGGAAATTAATTTAAGTGTGACAGTAGGGAGCCTAAAGCAAGCGTCGTAGACGTAAGTACTGATTCATTCATAAAACGCTCAGATAAACAAACGCTTACAAAGTTTCCCCACTAAAATTAGCAGCCGTCCCGTTCTTTTTAATGTGGAAGCCGATGCAAGAGCTCTGTCTGCGTAACTTAAAACACAATCTGGATTATAAGGGCGTAATTTTGAATGAATGGATTAGTCAAGTAGTTTTTCGTCGTTGTTTTAAATACTAACAAAACTGTTTCTCCAATTTGAGCTGCTGTTTTAACCTATAAGAAAATATACAAAACTGTTTTTTGTATATACATATTGAAAATTGTTTCTATAAATTTACCTTTGATTCAGAAGATTTATTGATCGTGTATGTTATTAAGATTTGATCAATAATTTTTATAAAATCTAAATAAACCCTCCCAAAACACAACGGTCATGTGCGACGTAAGTTACTCCTTTCCCCGTCTGGTATATCATGCGGTCAAAAGGCATATTGGTTATACAGTGTGAAGGGCGAGTCTATCTTAGATATTATGATGTCTATGTAAATACGTAATAATTAGGAGTTATATGGAGGCATTGTAGTTCAATTAATGAAGGACTAAAAAGATCGAAAGCTGTAAAAAAATCACTGATGAGTTCCCACTTAGCTCAATTTGTAGGTCATCGCAGTAACGCGTTCTTGGTACCGGAAGGGGCTTAAAATGGACCCCTTAACTCTGAAAAACGGGTTTCCCGCTAATATCTGGCTAAATATGCCAATAAGAGAATTTTTGTTTAGACAAAAAATAAAGATCAGCTCATTCTCTACAAAAATGATTCGTACCAATTTTTTCGCAATGCCAATATTTTTTGCAAAATCAGACTTCGAAAAATCCATAATTTTCATATTGAATAGATATGGTAGTTTCTTGACGAATTTCCGCTCAATGGGGTTGGAAATGCATTGATCTTCATCTTTTGGACTTTAGAGACCAATTGCAGATGGCGCCAGCACCTTTGCTCTTCTCGCTAAATTACGAGTCCGTAAATGAAAATCTTGGAAATAATCGATTATTCGACAATTACTGGCGGATTTCACCTGATTTTTTTCTGCAAAGTAGCACTTGGGCTCTCTCAATTGTATTAGCGAATGTTCTGTGCAATTTGAGTTGCAAATTTACCATAAAATTGCAAAAATTTATTTTTCCTTGTGCCAAGGTCTTGAATCCCGTTGTTTTGGCTAAAAGCAAATGATAACTTTTAGAGCGTGGTGAATATTGACCATACAACCATTCTAAACATTTTTCGCATTTTTGCGATTTTTTTGCAAACTTTTTCTAAATAATATGGGTGCAGGATTTCGGAAAAAATACGCAAGTCTTTGAAAAATTTGGAAGAATTGGTTGGATATAAAACATACATAACAACCTTTAGGGTGTGGTCAACCACTCCAAGTCATCAGAATCATATACATATTCTTCATCGTCAAATTTTCTAAACCACGAGTAACATTTACACCGTCATATACAACACCCTCCTTACAAAGAAAGCACTCTGGAATGGAATCCGCTTCCATTTCAACAACACCAAGAGCTACCAAAAAATAGATGATCCAACCGTTAGAACAATTACACCAAGTTTTTAAAGTTGAGGCAAAATAAAACAAACCTTATTTTCTGCTTCCAATAAAAAAATCCTTAAACATTATTTCTTGTAGATAAGACTAACGTGGAAATTTCTCACTTTAAACACTTCTTTTTTTTATAACTGAATTAATTTAATGAAAAATATTTATTTTATTTTAAATAAATAATTCAAAATAAATAATGAAAAAAAATATCATCAGTACATCAATAATCCGGTCAAGTCGACGACTCCAAAACAGAGATTGTATACAAACACACGCAGACAACTATCGCCGCGTGGGTACACGAGGTTAGGTTATACAGTGAGCACCATAAGTCTTACCCCCCTATCTAACTCGTTACTGGAGTCTTGTTAGGAAAATCGCCGAGACACGTCGATTTTTGATTTCTACAATGTACATTTTTGTATGAATAGTTTACCCTTAATTTCATCCCTTACTGGAGGGGAGCAACCCTTTCGAAAAATTTAAATGGCATGGGTTGATGAGTGATAGCTCATTTGAAAGAGGGTTTTATTCTCTATTCAACCGCGTAAAAAAATTTGAAATTTGCTTCATTAATTCTCGACTAATTGTTGTTTCAGAATAACGGAAATTAACGTAGCGCACTCATCCTTAGAATTAAAATTCGGTCCTGCATGATTTCGGTTTTGGTTCAGACGTGAAGTAAGACTTTTTGCCATCACTGTTAGTCTAGTTGCTTTCCTATTTTGTGAGGTTTTGTTATTTTTAAACATTAATAAATCAACACGTAATGAAGCAAATGTTAAATTTTTTTTACACGGTTGAATAGAGAATAAAACCCGATTTTCGAAAGGGTTGCTCCCCTCCAGTAAGGGAGAAATTAAGGGTAAACTAATCATGCAAAAATGTACATTGTACATCAAAAGTCGACCTGTCTCGGCGATTTTCCTAACAAGACCCCAGTAACGAGTTAGTTAGGGGGGGTAAGACTTATGATGCTCACTGTATACAATATCATGGATCTCAGATGGGGAACGTAAAAATGAAGTATATAATTGTAACAACCTTTTTAGAACCAAGAACGGATATGGGGATTGACTTATATCAATGGAAAGGTCAGAATATAAGCTTTACTTTGATCTAGTTATTAATCCTCAAAAAATAAAGAACGGGGAACAAGAAATGGTTAAACAAAAAAAAAAGGCCGGTTTTCACTCGTGTGATCAATTTTCCTCATTTCTTGAAAATTATTAGACTCTATTAAAAATAAAAAAATATATTCGAAAAGTATACCATCTAAGCTTTAAAATGATGTGCATTGGAAATTATTATAACGGATCATAAGATTATAATTCGCGCTTGTTCCAAAGATTCTATGGAACTCCGAAATCGGCTAAAACATGTAAATAAATCAATTTTGTATTAAAACGCAAGAAAAGTATTACAAAAAAATTTCTGAGATCATTCAAGACCCCCAAGGTCCCATTATAAAGGCAAAATTAGAATAAATAACTATTTTTAAAGGAAATATGAATAAATTAATGAAGCAGTCTCTAAATATTGTTGAAAAACACTTTGACCGCTTTTTAAAATATTTTTGGCAAATACGAATTGACTTCAAGTTACATGGAATTGTAGCTACGGATTTTCTTATTGCGATGAACTTTGAATAATCGAAAACTATAAATTTTTTCCTGACATATGGAACAATTCGTCCGCCCGCTTACACGTTAATTCATAGAAAGCGGAATTCCTGCAGGTAGAGCAGCAGCTGAAATGAGGGGGACTTTTGAGTGCCATTATCTCGAAAACTATTGAATTTTCGAAGAAAATTATAAGGACCATTTTTGTAGATAATGAGCAAATCTTAATGTTTTGTCTTAACAAAAATTCTCTAATTGGCATATTCAGTCAGATATTAGCGGTAAACCTATTTTCCAGGTTTTAGGGGTCCATTTTCAGCTTCTTCCGGTACCAAGAACGCGTTAAGGATTTTCTCGTTTAAAAACACCTGCCATAACCTACAAATTGCGCTATGTGGGAACTCATCAGCGAATTTTCTACAGGTTTGACCCTTCAGTTACTGGACTATTGGTAATGTTCAAGAACTGAAAATATTATCTATGATGCTAACTTAGATTATAGACTGGAAAATCCGCATCTCTAATCTATAAATATACAGGGTGCATGAAAAACATGTCACGGCCTAAATTGAGCGGTAAGTCTTTTAACAGTTGAGGCAAATCTTGACGTAGAAAATGTAAGTAACTGTCACCGTTAAGACGATCTGGCAATCTAAATAGACCAATCAAGTAGGTGTCGATAATACCCACACATACATACTCTTGTTGAAAATGTTTCTCTTTAATGGAATGTTGATTTTCAACTGCGTAAACATGTTCGTTATGTACATTTGTTATACCATGTCGTGTAAAGCATGACTCGTCTGTAGACAACATTTTTCTGTGAAAAACTTGTTCGGCAGCTCTGCGCTCTTGAATGACTTGTACAAAATGCAAACGAGACTCATAATCAGGAGGTAGGAGTTCCTTGACACATGTCAAAGAAATAAATAAGTTGTTCTCTAATTATTTTGTTGGATGTGCTTTTTGAAATACTAGTTTGGCGTGCCAGTAGTCGGGTACTAATTCCAGGATTATTTTCAACTATTTGAAGTATTTCCTCCTCTGCAGCAGGAGTTCTGGCTTTGACGAGGTCGTATTATTTCTGTTCGGTTTTAGTTGATTCGGAATCTGTCGATTTGGAAATCTTTCATGGTATGCCCGAACACTCTCATGATAGTTGCCACTATAGAAACCAAGTAACATAAAAATAGTTATGACCGCCAACTTAATTTTGTTGGCGGTTAAAAAATTTAAGTCGCTAACCATCAGTCCATAAATTTGTTTTGATTCAAATACCATGAGAGATAAAGGTTTTTTGTAAGAAACAAAAAATGCTACAACTGAATACAGCTATCCATAGAAATATGACAAAACAGAGGAGTCCTCAAAAAAAAAATTCGATTTCATTTATGGTAGGATTGGGGTGGTTTTTATCCTTCCATGATTTCAGTTAGTGTAATTTTTGCTTTGAACAATGGATCTTCAATTAAAATAGCTAAAAAATCGAACGAAGGGCCTTTGGGTTATTAAAAAAAAAATGAAAGTTTTCTTTCAACTTTGAAGCTTCCTCACAGGCAACCGAAGCACTTTGTGATATAGATAATTTTGGCTCAATCGATTTATTTTGATCTCTATGAACACAAAATTTTGGGACACCCTGCATGGTAAATCATCCATATTATTATTACCAGTTCCTTCACCATTATTGATTAAAATTTTTATTTAAATAAAGGAAGTAGGTACAATAAAAATGCTTTTCAATAAATTTAATATATTGCTTAATATTTATGTTTTTTTGGGTCATTTAAAGTAGGTTTGGTTATTCTTCACTGTCTGAATCTGATTCGGAATAAATCTCGTTACTAATAAATGAGCCATCTTCTGCTTCAATTTCAGGTTTTAGTACATGTACATGTGCAGGTTCTGATACAATTTCAGGTTCAGGTTTTGATACAATTTCAGGGTTAGGTTTTGAAACAATTTCAGGTTCAGGTTTTGATACAATTTCAGGTTTGCCATGACCAAATAAAAGGTCGTATTCACTACCATACATATTATTCAATATCCATTTTACGAACTGATTTAAATTTGTGTATAATGCGGGTCCTTCGCCACAATCCTCATCATTGGCATATGATGTTAAACCTAAAAAATAGTTTAAAAAATAATATAATAAAAGATGTGCATTCGTTTGACAAATTAAAGTTTTTTTTAATTTTACTCAATAAGAAATGTTCAATATGGTGTTTAAGAATAACCATTTTTATCGTATTATGTCTTATAATAAACACTACAAATACTTCCGAAATAAATTAAAAATTAAGACATAAAGGTCGCGTAAATATACAGTAAAAAATAGACCAAACTTTTGATGTAGTTAGTTTGGATAAGATAAGTTTATTTAAGTCAATTTTGCTTGCTTAAGAAGAATATAGTATTCACTTTTTTTTAAGAATCAACATTTTTAAAAAATTAATAATTATTTTGAAAAAGCATTCAATTTGCTTTAAAAAAGGTATTAATGCAAGTATACGCGCATCATCTCGCTAAAATGCATCATTTCGGGGAAAACCTATTTAGAGGTGGCGCCAAACCGGAGGTTTTTGAGGAAATCAAAAATGTTTTTATCTCAATTCATGATAATATAATCAATAATGTTATCGAAGTTTATATTCGTTGATATAATGACCTGTTTCTATTGTGACAGAAAAGATATCTATTTTTGAAATCAAATAGCTATTCAATTAGCGTTCATTATTAAATATAATAAAATCAATAGGTTAGTTAATTCTGTGTGCAACATGCAATACCATGAATACCCATATAAAGTATAAACTTGTCGATTTTTCCTGTCCAGACTCGAATATTGTACGAACGACGAGTAAGTTTCAAATTAGATCTTGTCGATTTTTCCTGTCCAGACTTGAAGACTCTACAAACTAGGTTTTTCCTGTCCAGACTCGAATATTGTACGACGAGTAAGTTTCATATTAGATCTTGTCGATTTTTCCTGTTCAGACTTGAAGACTCATCTACGAACCACGAGTATAAATAAAACTGCAGGAGGCGTCGTAATCCAAATAGTTAATATTTTCTTCGGCTACGTGAAGGTCAAAAACCAAGACGCAAAGTTATAGTTATAAATATTCGACGGAGTGCTTTATATTTTGTGTTGTGTTGTAATTAAATTTTATGAAATGAAAAAGTACATACCCACATAATACCTATATATTTGACTTGATTTATGCCCGATTCGCCTGTTCCCATTTCGCCTGACCAATTAAAATTTCCCGATTCGCCTGATAAGCTCAAATTGTGGTATCGTTTTGCCTGACCATAAGTTGGATGGTGCGTGCTTTTTTTATCATGAGGGCCATTTTCAAAATACATGCAAAATTTGATTTATAAAGATGATTTGATTTGACATTATTGACATTATTAAGCGTTTTGTACCAGTGTTTTTAAATCAATTATTTTTAAATTTTCTAAACCATCTTGATAATTTTTCCTTTAAATCTTTTTTCATAGATATACTAAGTTCTTTTCTAAAGTAATGTATAGTTGAAATTATTACTGAAGGAATTTTAGTTTTTAAATATATTTTTTTGTCCCGGCCGGTTATTGGGACACATAAAAAAATTTCTAAATTCAAATTGTTTATTCGCTTTACGCTTCGTCAATTTGAAAAAATGTTTAGTTTTTATTTTACTAACTTGTTACTATACTGGGTGCTCTATATTTTTTTGTTTATATCAAATTAAATAACTATAACATTTTAATTTAATTTTATGTTCATTTCTTATTATTATTCATTTGTTAGTAACAGATTTCTTTACAGCAAATACATATTTATTACCTGAGCAGGTCAGGAGAATCGCAACTATTTCTTTCCGTTTAACATGTAGTCAGGCAAAACGCTACCAAAGCGTACCAAATTTGTATGTCAGACGAAACGGGAATATACCTTTGACTTTGACTTACTTCGGCTATTAATAAGATATTGTGGAAAATACTATAAAAGTAGTTCAATATTTTCACATCTGAAAATCGGGAAATGTGATTTTTTCCTGTGTGGCAAATTAGGTCTAAAAATATGTTTATTATTATTTCTGTTAAAGTTTGTGCACTAAAACCTGAATTACCCTCAATATTAAATGCCTTTAACAATTTTTGATCTAGTATTCCTTAATTTCTAGGGGCCACAGAAGAGAAAACGACCTTCTGGTGCAAAATTTCGAGAGCAAAAAAAAATAGAGTCCAAAAAAGGGAGAAGATGGCTGACAGTATGAAACATTTCTTGCGAAAAAGTCAAGTTTCCAACACTGAAACAATAGAGGAAGGTGAAAATACAGTTTCTGAAGCGGCGGCACCACCATCTTCTGCAAAATGTGAACCATCATCATCATCATATTCTCTATAGAGTCGACCATCCCAACAAAGACGGCTACAAGTGACACTTCTGACGATGAAGTTTCTACTGAAGCGGTGACTGAGAATACTAGTATTCTTATATCAGAGGACCCCGGTTTATGGCCCAGAAGCATTACCAACGACGAAGTCAGAATATTGGTTGATCGTGATCCTCCTTATCAATTTCCAGCTAATAAAGACAAAAGAAAATTTTCAAGTAAGTACTTTGTCAGAAAACTAGAAAATGGAAGAGAAACAAATAGAATTTGGCTCATTTACTTAGTTTCGAAAAAATCGATATTTTGTTTTTGTTGTAAAATTTTCAATAGTTTTTCTGATACTCATGGTTTTTCTGATTGGCAACATGTGTCCTTAGCCATGAAAAGACATGAAACATCAATTGTACATAATGTTTACATGAATACATGGATGAATTTAAAAAAAAAATATTAAAGCTATCCACAACCGTAAACGATTATCACTTACGGGTTTTAGAAACTGAAAAAAAATATTGGCATGACGTTCTAAAAAGAATTGTTGCAGTTGTCAAATTTTTATCTATACTTTTTGAATTTGATAATAGAAACTTCCTCAAAGCTGTCGAGATTATTTCCTATTTTGATCCTGTGATGAGAGAGCACATTAGTCGAGTGCAAAACTCACAAACAAATTCTTTAAAAATTACCCATTATCAGATACAAAACGAAATTATTGAATTAATGTAAAGTAAAAAATAATATATTTTCAATATGGTTCGCAGTTCCAAATATTATTTAAAAATTTTAGACTGTACACCGGATACAAGTCGTACAGAGCAAATAAGCCACGTCTTACGTTGTCGTTCTAAATGAAATTTCTAAAAAGGCTCAAATACAATAGAGTTTCATAGCGTTCAACCCAATATCCGACTCGACAGGGGAAGGGCTATTTGATTTTGTCGTTGGACTTTTGAAAAATTTTAATTTAGATATTAAAGACATGAGAGGTCACGGGTATGATAATGGGGCGAAAACGCGCGGAAAACATACTGGTTTACAAAAACGCATACTCGATGCTAATCCCAGTACATTTTTTGTGCCATGTGCTGCACACAGCTTAAATTTAGCAGTAAATGATGCTTTTAAAGTTTCAAATGAAACAATTAACTTTTTCAATATTGTACAAAAACTTTATGTATTTTTCTCTTCATCCACAAAAAGGTGGGATATTATAAAAAGCATGTCCCGAAGTTAAATCTAAAACCCCTAAGTGATACTAGATGGTCAAGTAGGATTGATGCTATAAGGCCGCCAAAGTCAGAATATTGTTTGACCGTGGTCCTCCTTTAATAGGAAATTATCAATTTCCAGCTAATAAAGACAAAGACAAAAGAAAATTTTCAAGTAAGTACTTTGTCAGAAAACTAGGAAACGGGGAATAAGCAAATATAATTTGGTTTATTTACTCAGTTTCGAAAAAAATCGATATTTTGTTTTTGTTGTAAAATTTTCAGTAGCAGAAAATGATACTTTTAACATAGAAGCAAGGCATAAAGCAAGTTCTATGCTATTAAGTATCCAATCTTTTAAATTTATTTGCAGTGTAATACCTTGGTATGATGTTTAAAATAAATTTCTTTTTAAAAATAATTGATCAAACACTTTCTTTAAATAGTAGATTTGAAATGATATCTGATTACGACAACGTTTTTAGTTTTTTTAGTGATATTTTTAAATTCAATGACGAGGATCTTTTAAAATGCTGTCGTGCTCTACAGCAAAAGCTAACTGATCAGAAAAAGGAGGAGGCTGGCGTAGAAGAAAATGATTTATTTGATGAGATAAAAGCCCTAAGATTGTTTTCATTACCTGAAGCGTCAAATCCCCTCGAGATTTTACAATATATATTTGAAAACAATCTAACTTCATCTCTACCGAATATTACCATTTCGTTAAAAATATATTTTGTAACTGCTGCGTGACACTATCTCCTCCACAGATATAGCAGATGAAATCCAGAAATATGTTTTTACTCCTCCTAAAAAGTGACCGAAAAAGGGACATTTGGTCATCCGTACTAAAGAAATGGTTCTTAATATTTATAAGCATTAAATTTTATAGAACCCTGATATGTCGGTACATGATGTTGAAAGGAGAGTTGCTGATAAAACAGGGATGTGCGCTAAAACCGTTTTTAATGTTATGAAGGAGTATAGGCAGATTCAAAAATTTTCTGAATCAAAAAGAAAGCTACGTTATAAACAAATTAGTGGCTCTGTGGATGATTTTTGATAAAAATGCAATAAGGCGCAAAGTACATCAATTCTTCTTTAGAAATTAACTTCCAACAATCGATAAGGTTTTATAAGAAGTCAACGATGATCCATATTTGTCTACTTTTAAGCGAGCTACATTTTACAAGCTTTTCAAAACCCTTAATTTTAAATTTAAAACTCGAAGAAAAAATAGTTTGCTTTTAGACAAAAATGAAATTGTTTCGTCCTATGCCACAAAAAATAAAACGGTACAGAGAAGAAAAGCAAAAAATATATTATCTTGATGAGACTTGGATTAACGCAGGCCACACCAAATCAAAAGTTTGTTTCGATATGTCGGTTTTTTCATCCAGACAAGCCTTTTTGGACGAACTTTTAACTGGTTTTAAAAGCCCATCAGGTATGTGCGTAAAAACAGCTCATTATATGCCATATTGGAAGTGAAGAAGGCTTTGTCTCTAATGCACTTTATGTATTTGAGTTGAAAAATCCGGTGACTACCATGAAAAAATGTGTGGAGAATCGTTCATAGAGTGGTTTTCAAACACTCTACCAAAATTAGAAGAAAACTGCATTATTATTCGATAAAGCTGGAAAAAATACCTACAACGACGTCTAAAAAAGGTGATATTTAAAAATGGGTATAAGGGAAAACAATTGAATTCGACTACCAAATGCTTAAGATCCAACTTCTAAAACTTGGTAAGCAACATTAACATTATGATAGGTATGTAATAGATGAAATGGCTAAGCAGCAAAACAACATAATACTTCACCTGTCTCCGTATCATTGTGAACTTAACCCTATTGAATTAATCTAGATTGACGTTAAACAATACGTAGCAGATAAAAACTCAACATTTAAATCTGGAGACATTAAAATTCTTTTTGAAGAAGTAATATTATTAGTTTCTCCAGAAAAATGGAAAAAGTTATCGACCATGTTCGCCAAAAAGTTGAAGTAAAAATGTGGTAGTTGGATAATATTATAGAGGTTCAGGTAGAACCACTTGTAATTTTGATTAATGAAGATAGCCCTTCAAGTCTAACTAATTTATTCGATTCAGAATAGTGCTAAGTCAAGTAAGGAAGATTGCTATAATACAGGGTACAAGGTGTCTAATCTAAATACTAGTAGAACAAGAACAATAAAGAACAAAAGTTGTCAAAAATACAAAAGGTTTCTTTTTAAGATGCACAATTTTAAATCAAATACCAAATACCTCTTATATTTAAAGTTTTTTTAATGCTTTTAGTAGATATATATTAACTATTAAAGAATTTGCAATTATTTGGACACCCTGTATAATATAATTTTATAATATGATTGTTTTAATGCTCATAGTAGACATACGTAATGAACTAATTATAATGCAAACATCTCTTTTAAAGTCAAATACATTTATTAATTTGTATTGCAGGTTAACGCAGTTTATGTCGCTCACCTATCTTCGTCCAGAAATGTCACTAAAGTCTGGAAGACCGTGTATGGCATTTATTTTATAGTTTTAGTTTACAAAATATGTTTTTATCGTAATAAAAAAATAATTTCACAATTACTCTTTTATTTTAAATTTTTGCAAGACGGAAAAGTAAAATACGGCCCTGCTCAATTTTAGCGTCCACCTGCTTCTGTTTACATCAGCCGTAAATTAAATTTGAATAGACTTTACATATATTCAAAGGGCGCCAAAATATTTCCGGCCCGCAGGGCGGCGATAAACCTTGTTGTTCTTGTCAGAAAAAATAAAATAATATCTTATTCGACAATCCGTTTATTTCACAACGAAATACTGGGCGATAATTTAAAAAAAAAAAAACTAATATTTGATATATCTTATGAACTAAAAATTATATTATAAATTTTAACTGGAAATATGTTTATTCTGTTGAAAATTTAACCCATACGTTTATTTCTTTTGTACAGAACTGTACTTTATGTTAAAATCGTAAAATAAGTGTTGATTATAAAACAGCCGCAATTAAGATATTTTTTATTTCGTAAAAATCATGTAGTGAAATTGATTATTTTATACCTATATTATGGATCTCGAATTTTTATTCTAATTTTGTATACTACTTTTCATCCTGAATACAATCAGACAGTCACAATAAAGAACTTGACAATGGTTTCGAAAAAAATTTTAAAAAAAATTCAGATCCGTATGTCACATAATCGACCTGAGGCGGCTTTAAAAAAACGAAACGTGTTATCAATTTGAATATCTAGTTTTAAGTACAAAATCACCCAAACTTCAAGATTTATGTTTTCCAAAATAACTTTCATACGGCCAGAATATTCAAACTACATAATGTTACGCAGCACCCTGCAGTAGCCTGTGGCTATTATAGGAAATGTACAGATAGAAAAAGAAGTGGAATGTTACTCATCGCCCTATAGTGTGCTGAGGTCGTCATAAGTAAAAGTACAAGTAAAAGAAGATAGAATATTTCGGAAATGTCTGGAAATGTCATTAACCGTCAAGAATATTCTAGACGCACATACTTTAATTTTCTCTTACTATACGGAGAATGGTCGCACTGCGCAGCTTTCTGATTGCCTTTTAAAAGAAGATAGAAAACTCCGCCAGTTTGATGCCTTATTACGTGTTGCCTACATCTTGGCGCAATATTTTTAATATTTTGCTTGCTGCTGTCAGTGTCACAGAATATTATTGTTTGAGTCACAGTTTATTGCTAAAGAATCAGTTAGCTCATACGGACCAGTTGAAAGTTCCAAAATAACATCCACTCCAGGGATACAAATTCAGGATGCGCAGGAGACTGCTGTTTTATTATAGGCGGTTGTCATATAATGTATTATCCGAGTTGCGCAGTGTATAAACTGGAACATTGAGATCAAAAGTGCCGACGCAGAGTGAGCGAACTGATTCTTTAAAGGCATCAAAATGGCCGCGCCCTATGTTGGGCGTGTCGAACCACTCTTGCACCGTATAGTAATCAAAGTATGTGTCTAGACGACAGATCGAGAAGGTTCGAGAAGGGTCAAGCAAGCTATACAGGGTGTTAAAAAAAAGTGTCACAAAATGAAATGGTGAATAGTATGACCCAAAATAAGCAGAAAAGTCTTAATAAATATATGACCGCAAATTAACGGTTTCGGAGATACGGACCATTTTGTGTTTATAACAATTTTTTATTATTATAAAAAAACAATGATATTTATAAACAATCAATAACAACATAGAGTTAAATGAGATGTTCAAATACTGACGTAGCGCTTCCCTCGCATTGCCATTTGCACGACCGTACATAAAATGCATGTCAGCTAATTCAATATTAGTGTAAACAGGCATAACGAAAATTTATAAAATTATTCACCCACAACAAAATAATAACTGCAAATAGTATCTATGAAAAAACATCGGTAGACTCCGATAAGAAAAGCAAGTTTTTGAGAATGAAAAAAGATAATCAAAAAATGATACAAAACACAAAACACTCCGTATCTCTGAAACCATTCATTTGCGGACATATGTTTATTAAGACTTTTCTGCATATTTTGGCCCATACTACCCTCAGTTTTATTTTGTGACACTTTTTTTTAACACCCTGTATAAGGATGATCCTGACGTCAGTTTTTAGTTTTATGATAGACGTTACATGTTAATGTTATCAGTTGAATAGTTGTTGTAAAAGTTGAGTTTAAATAAATTGAGATACCAAAAACCTGCGTAACAATATTAATGCCTCTCCCAATAGCCAATTTATATCCCACTTGACTGAATATGTATATTTAACTGTTTTCTATCCTTATATGTGTAACATTTTTATAAATACGAGAACCATTTTTTCAAAGATTCAGTTGGATAATTTTAAAACAAATATATCGAACTTTTACAAAATTAGCAAAGAATAAGTATCTGTAAACAACATACCTATAAAATAGTGCCTGGTTTGAAAATGTTCTTGTCTTTTCCATACAACAGGACTTCCAGAATCACCTTGACACGTGTCTTCGCCCGTTTCAACGCCGATACATAATTGTCTTTCGTCAACCGTTTGGTTAAAGATCCCTTCGCATACACATCGATCTCTAATTGGCAAGGTTACAAATTTAAGAATTTGCGAAGGAACTTCTGAGGAATCTAGACCCCAACCAGCAATTTCTACTTTTTCACCAAGGAACCGATACTCTAGAAGATCTTCCGTTGGCAAGCAGACGGGTATAACGTTTGCTAAAAAAATCGTTGTTAGTAAAACCTTTCCAAATTTCTTGTGAACTTACTGTTAAATTTTACTTCATCATCTAAACGAATTAGAGCTATGTCATTTTCAAAGGTAGTTCCGTCATATTGTTCGTGAACGATAATCTCTTCAATTTTAACTCTTCTGGATAAACAATCATCCAGGGATTGGGCGCAAACAACGTTTACACTTTCTCCAAGTCGTATGAATTTACTAAAATTGAAATAATTAAAAATAGCTTCAAAAAGTATGGAATAATAACATTGTTACAGTCTGTTCGCTATACTTACGCGGGTTTCGGTTTAACAAAATTATGCAAATTAGCCATTGACAACCAGTTCCAATAAGCCTCTTCCCAAGAAATTAGGTAAAGTTGCCCTAATGGTCAGATTTAAATTAAAATAACATTAGGGTAGGTACTTAATTTGTTACAAATATTGCAGTTGAATTGATTCTTTGCAAGTGTTGACATTGTATGTATATTGTAAATTTAGTGGAAATTTTAAAAATGCCTAGACGTGTGTTAGATGTAGATAGTCTAATTTGTATTGTACATAAGTATTTTATGGATGAAAAAGAAAATGTTGGTCCTTTAAAATCGGTAATGTCTGTACAACAACGCGTATGCGATGCTCTAGGAATTAGTGAAACCAAATTAAGAGGAGTATTACACAATCACAATGGTGAACTGCCGAAAGAAGATCACCGCAAAACTCGCCCATCATTGAAAACAAAAGATATTCCAGAAATTTGAAATTCGTGATACCATTTATCGAATGAGGGCCAACAAGGAACATCTGACCTTAAATACAATTCTCTCGGAATTAATAGATAAAAAATTTGACGACATTGGCAGAACAAGTCTATGACAAGTGATACATAACTTGGGTTTCAAATTTCAAAAGGAGGACAACAGAAAGGCCCTTTGTGAAAGAAGTTCTGTCGTGCACAAGATAATTAACTTTCTAAGAAAATATTCTAAATTTAAAGAAGAAGGGGCAAATTTTATATATTTAGACGAAACATGGATATTTTCTAGGGGTGCAACCAAGAGAATATGGCAAGATGATAACGTAAAGTTCATCAAACATACCGATGGAGAAGGGAAGCGATACATAATTTTACATGCAGGACGGAAATCGGGTTTTATAGAAGGTGCTGATTTAATATTTTCATCTAAATCAAAATCCAGTGACTATCACGATAATATGAACACAGAAATGTTTGTAAAATGGTTGCATGAAAAACTTTTCCCAGGTTTAAGTGAGCCCAGCGTAATTATTTTAGACAATGCACCTTACCATTCTGAAGTATTAAACAAAAGTCCATCGAATTCTTGGACTGTTGATAAAATTAAAGAATGGTTGACAAAGGAACATATCATTTCCTCAATATATATTAAAATCAGAATTATTACGCTTGACAAATATACACGCAAAACAAAAAACCTTTGTTGTGGATCAGATTATTGAAAGTTACGGTCATCAAGTTTTACGTCTGCCACCGTATCATTGCCAGTTTAATCCCATCGAATATATATGGGGAATAGCAAAACAATATTATGAAAACCATATTGGGCCTAATGGTTATAGTGACGACGCAGTTCGGGAAACTTCGCGAAAAGCACTTTCAATTGCAACTCCAGAAGTGTGGCGGAACTGTATATCCAAGTGCGAGAAACTAATAATAGAAGATTGGTGGACTCGTGAAAATAAAATAACCGAAATAAGTCCAATCATAATAACAATTAATGGTGATGACAGTGATGATGATGACGATTATGATATTTTGGATGATAAGACTGATTTTCATTTTTTTATTTTTCATTTGAAATTCTTTACATGGAACAAATTTTTATGTTAGAAAATATTTTATTTGCGCTAAATAACCCTCTTATTATACATAGACCATATTTTCTGTGTGAAGTGTAATATAAAATTATTATTAGGTTTATAATAGCCACATTAGACTCCATTAATGAAGAAGTTTAATTCTGCTCTCAATTATACAAAATATTCTCCATTATTATTTAATTAAAAAGTTGTACATTATTTTTCATTTGATTTAACCAGTTGATATTTCCCCAAAGAACAGGTCAAACTTTCGGGTACTTACCTGGAAATACTAATAAAAATTTTAATCCAAAACCCGCGTAAGTATAGCGAACAGACTGTAATATCTTCTATCAGGCTCATAAATTTTAATAAATAATCTCTCAACTGGGTGTAAAAGTACTATTAAAAAAAAACAATTGATGAGAAATCTAAGGAACAAGCGTTATTTAATTTTTAAATCTAAGGGAGTTTTTTCGAAATTTTAAAATCTACACCTAAAACATTGTTCAAGTAAAGGCAAGACACATCGCATTATACAAAACCAATTATAGGCTTTTTTGGACATCAGAATACAAGTTTAGGCATTTTCATCAAGACTATGGTAGAGGAAATTCACTTTCATATTCTGTTGATGGTAACGAAATTGTATAATTTTGAAGGTAAAAAAAGCGACCCCGAAACTAGTCACTTTATGTAGGCTCGAAAGTAAAGTATGTGTAACGAGATGTGTGTTGAGATATAATTGCTTGAGTACCGATAAGCGATAAAGAGGGGGAGGGGGTGGCACAAAACGGTCCAAAACTAGACTACAATAGTAAGGTCACAGAATAATAGAAAGTGTTGCACTGATCAAATTAGAACCAACTTTGAAATGGCTTGATTTAAGAATTAATTCTACACTCACCGACTTAAAATTCGATCCATTCAAAATAATGATTTATTTAAAAATGCTTTAACTTTCAAATGCAGAGGCTGATTTATTTGAAGTTTTTAGCAACTTTTAGATAAAATACTGTAGTTTTAAGATTATTATTCGGACATCTAAAAGTAATTTAGTACTCGCCGGATATACAGGGGGGAAAAGAAAACAATTTTTTCCTCTACTTTTGACACACCTTGTAGGTTAATTCTGCTAGTGGATCTGCACACAATTAACTTTATCAAGAAGACTGATTTGTTTCCAACATTTTGTTTTTTTATTTACCCCTATATTTTAATTTGTTTGTGAAATGTGACGGTTTAAAGAAAATGCAACATTCCTAATTTTTTTATTCAGTTTTAGCAGAAGTAATACATAATTTTATAAACAAATTAAATAACAAATAAACTAATAATTATTACAAATTAATAACGGGTATTTCCCCCACGAGCGCGAATAACTGCCTCAATGCGTCGTGGCATACCCTCTATTAGATGTCGAATCTCCATCTGGTCAATCTGATCCCATTCTTGGACCAAAGCATCTCTCAAAAAATTTAAATTACTTGGAGAAGGAACTCGGTTATGAACTCGCCTGCCCATCATGTCCCAGACGTGCTCAATTGGATTGAGGTCTGGGCTACGTGATGACCATCATCATCATCCTTTGCATTTCTGTTTCGTCCAAATAATGAGATACAATCCTCGCAATATGTGGTCTACTGCTAAACAGCAGAAGCGAACTCAAGGCCGTAATAGGACTCCTTACGGGACACTACGGCCTTAGAAGACACCTAAATCTCTTAGGGATATCTGATGACTCCCTATGTAGAATATGTGAAGAGGAGGACGAAACTCCTATTCACATACTATGCCACTGCCGGAACCTTAAATGGGAACGGAAATGGTACTTCGGGGTACAATATCCGGAACCTGAAGAAATCGCGAAAGCGCCCATCAGACATATTCTTGAATTCATCAAGAAAATCAATCTGATGGGATAGAAACTGTGAGGGGTACAATAAGCCTAGAGCTTCAGTACAAGTGGGCTTTGAACCACGCCCTAATTCAGATGATGATGATGATGAATATGTGGTCTAGCGTTGTCATGCATAAACATGAATTCGTTTCCTATAAACGGTGCAAATGGAATTACATGTGGATCTAGCACATCGCGAATATATCGGTTAGCTGTCATTGCTCCGCCGCCAACAATGACTAAATCAGTACGAGCTTCCATGCTTATGCCGCCCCAAACCATTACCGATCCTTCTCCATAGCTGAGTCTTGTGGAAAAAATTTCTTGGTCAAACCTTTCGCCTTTTCTTCGGTATATTCTTTCACGGCCATCAGGAGAACGTAAACAAAATATTGACTCGTCAGAAAATAAAATCTTACTCCAGTCATCGACATTCCAATGTTGATGCTCTCTGGCAAATCGAAGACGTGCTGTTCTGTGATTCCTAAGTAACTCCGGACCAGTTGCAGGTCTTCTGGAGCGTAATCCATGTTCTCGTAATCGCCTTCGAATCGTTAGTTCGTTAACAGCTACTTGACGTACTTCTTCTATACGATTTCGAGCCATGACAGCAGTAGTACTTCTTAGTACATCTGTTACAAAACGATCATCTCGAACATTTGTAGAACGTCGTCTGCCAGATCCTCTTCGTCTCGAAAAACTAGCAGTTTCATTGAAACGTTGTACAGCTCTCTGGACGCTACACCTTGTAACACCCAATATTCTAGAAGCATAATACTGAGACCTACCGTCCTGTACCAGAGCAACTGCTCGTGCTGCCTCAGTAGGCGTTAAAACCATGATGTTATGCTGATAATGAATAGTTGTTATGCTGATAATTAAACTGCAATTGCCAAGTAACGAATATTTGACGGGGTAAATAGAGAAACAAAGTATTGGAAACAATTTAGTCTTCTTGATAAAGTTAATTGTGTGCAGATCTACTAGCAGAATTAACCTACAGGGTGTGTCAAAAGTAGAGGAAAAAATTGTTTTCTCTTCTTCCCTGTATATGCGGCGAGTACTAAATTACTTTTAGATGTCCGAATAATAATCTTAAAACAACAGTATTTTATCTAAAAGTTGCTAAAAAATTCAAATAAATCAGTCTCCGCATTTGAAAGTTAGAGCATTTTTAAATAAATCATTATTTTGAATGGATCGAATTTTAAGTCGGTGAGTGTAGTTTCGAGTATATCGTATTTATGCCAATTCTCACTTACAAAAGCGTTAACTATTAAATATCATTGTTCTAACTTGATTAGCTTATGTACCTTATGCCGCGTTTGAAAATCCACATCCGATGCATTTTTTACATCTCGAGCGTTTTTTTATCCACATCGGACACATCTACTACATCTACATCTGCGTTTGTTTATCCCAGGTGTACCTGTTCAGATCAATGAACTGGAGTGGGGTAGAATGCTTGTCAATAGACTTGTTGTGCGACTCTATGGGCGAAGATAGGTTATTTTTCATCTCACTCGGGAGTATTTAAAATAACCATTTTCTATTTCACATTGTTATTGTCTGATCCACCAGCTTGTGGATTGAACAATAACAATGTGAAACAGAAAATGGTTATTATAAATAGTCCCGAGTGAGATACACAATAAAAATGGCTGCGCCCATCGAGTCGCACCTAGTTCTAATAGTACAACATTCTACCCCCCTCCAGTTCATTGGTTCAGATTACATTTCTTACATCTCGATTTGAAATGAGATGTGATTGAGATGTTCGTCCCATGCCAGAAAGTAAGTGTTCTGTGCAGCCAAGTTTGTCAATTTATCCTTTGTTTATGCTAGCATGAATATAAAAATGATTATAGTTTGTTTAATTTTTGTTTAGATTTCAAATTTAGGTTGATTTGTAGTCTCAAAAGTCAAATTTAAAAAGTATAAACTTCTAACTTGTCATTGACATTTTATCACGTGACCAATAAAGTCTAGAGCGTTTGTTTATAACATCTACATTCAGATCTAATTCTCTATCACGTGATAAAAAATTCACAACATCTTAGATGCATCCGATGTGGATTCTCAAACGCGGCATTAGTGTTAGTATTGGCACAGTTTATTGCTAAAGAATCAGTTAGCTCACTTGGACCAGTTGAATGTTCCAAAATAACATCCACTCCAGGGATACAAATTTAGGATGCGCAGAAGACTGCTGTTTGAATATAGTAGGCGGTTGTCATATATTGTATTGGTTATGATATAATTATGTATGCGCCAGGGATACAAATCCGAGTTGCGCAGTGTATAAACTGGAACATTGAGATCAAAAGTGCCGACGCAGAGTGAGCGAACTGATTATTTAGCTATAAACTGTGGTATTGGTAAGGGGGAAGAAAGATTCTGACTTACAATCACAAAAAGAACGTATAACTTAGTCGATGTAAGTTAGCTTAGATTAGTTGTTAAAAGAAAGCGACTATATTGTTTTGACTTCTCAAATTGCATATGCATATTAATTATGAAAAATGTGTAAAGAACCTCTATTTGAATTACAATAAATACAAAAAAAACCTACGTTATTCTCTCGTTGCCTGCAACGCAATGAGCTGCTGTGACTGCATATTGTTTATTAATTAATGCTCCACTACAAACGTATTTATCTACAATTCGATTTTTGCCAATAACATTCCTTTGTAGTACTTGAACCATCCATGGAAATCTACTTATTTTTGCATTCTCTCCTTTTGTTATTCTTGGATATAATTTTACTAGTCCACATTGATTGGTATCGATAAGGCGCCAGTTTGTATGTGACATAACTTCATTTCTGTAGGATCCTATAAAAAATGTTAATACAGGATGTTGAAACTATTTTAAAGGCTTATACTTAAAAAGTACTTGATGTAGGTTTTCAATACACATCTTTAATTTTTTTTAATTTATTTAACTTTTGTACTCCAACTTTAGTTAGTATGGTTATTTTTTGCTTTTGAAATAAGTTAACAAACAGTCTAAAAATTATTGTACATATTAATGACCGTAACAAACGCAAGTGTTTTCCACGTATGTATCGGGAAATTCTTAATTGAATAGTGAAAAGAAATTTTTGTTAGTTTAATATTGACTGCTTCATAAGTTTTGACATTTTTCTAAGACATTTTATTTTCCTAATTCCCTGCTATACAGGGTGTTATTGAAATACACGTACATATTAAAACTGGGTATTGCGCAGATCCCCACTGAATGTAGAAAAATATTATTTTTTAAAAATACCCCTTATTAAGGGAGTTATTAATTTTTGAAAATTAATTCTAAAACAAACGTACTTCACTGATATGTTGAGGATGACCTATATAAATTAGGTTTATTTACCTATTTTAAACATCAACAGTAATTAATATGCAAGTTTTTGTCAGATGATAAGAAAACTAGTCTTGTAAGAAATAACCATGTTGCCAAGATTTTCGAATTAATTTCTATTTCCGAAGACTGGTTTTTACTACCCTCGTTATCAAAAAACTAGAATATTTGATAAATGATTGTTTTTAAACTATACATTTTTGAAACTATAGATTATTAAAATTTTAGTTGATTTACGAATCTGGCTAACACGAGCGCGTCATTTCCAAGTTGGTAAAAAGTGTTGTTACGATTACTTTTAAATATTTTTTTACGATGCCACCATTTACGAATATTGAACTAACGGATATAGTGCTGGTTTATGGGGCAGCTGGAGAAAATTCCGGCAAGCACAAATCCTGTATCGCGAACGGTTTCCAAATCGGAGAATTCCGGACTGTCGTACGTTTATTTCAACTGACTGTTCAGCATCTAAGGGACCATGGAAAATTTGAGAGTGTCAATGCAGATCGAGGAAGAACAAGAACACAAAGAACATTGGCGGCCGAAGAAGAAATATTGAAAGCTGTTGAAAACCGGCCTCAATTAAGTTGTAGAAGACTAGGTCTTGAAATTGGAGTGTCCTCATTTGTTGTGTGGCGGACACTTAAAGAACAAGGTTTACATCCTTATCACATCCAAAAAGTCCAGGCCTTATATCCAGGTGATGAAGAAAAGAGAGTGGAGTTTTGTGAATGGATGATTCAAAAATGTGTTGATATTCCTGATTTTCTAAAAATATTATTGTATACTGACGAGGCTTCATTCACTCGTGATGGCGTGTTCAATATGCACAATACGCATATTTGGAGTCATGAAAATCCTCACGCCATTAGGGAAACTGGGCATCAAAGAAAATTTTCAATAAATGTTTGGGCTGGCATAATAGATCAGTATTTAATCGGGCCTTATGTTCTCCCGAACAGATTAAATGGGCCAGGATATCTCCACTTTTTAGAAGATATTTTGCCAGTACTCCTAGAAGAGATACCGTTACAATTAAGGCAACGGATGTGGTACCTACTAGATGGCGCTCCTCCTCACTTTGATTTAAACGTACGGCAGTTTTTGAACATTAGATTTCCTCAAAAGTGGATAGGCAGAAATGGACCTACTAAGTGGCCTCCGAGATCTCCGGACTTAAATCCATGCGATTTCTTTTTGTGGGGTCACATGAAACAACTGGTTTATAATGAACCTATTAATAGTGTTGAACAATTAACCAATAAAGTTAATGCGGTAGCCGAGGAACTACGACAAAATCCAAGACTAATTTCTAATGTTCAAAGTTCTTTGGAAAGACGATTGCAAGTGTGTGTAAATAATAATGGACGGCATTTTGAACAATTACTGTAATAAACTTTATTTTGAATTAATTGGTTTTGCTACGGCAACAGTGCAATTTCTATGGGTAAGTTCAATTTCGATTTATTTTACTTCTTTAAATATGGAAACTAGTAGGTCGGAAAAGGGGACTCTTCCCCAATATTTAAATTTTAGAATTTGAAGTTAAAATTGGTGCCAATCGTTTTTGGTCATTACATACTATTCCCCATTTTAATATGTACGTGTATTTCAATAACACCCTGTATAACATTTTTATAAGACATTTTATTTTCCTAATTTCCTGCTATAGGAGTTCTCCTCCTTTTCAGGGTGGTTTGCCATGATTATGTTGTTACCTATATAGCTCTATTTTCTAAGTGTTGACGCATGGGACCTGTCTGACAGGTTGTGTTCCCAAAAAGTATTGCCAATTTTACAATTTTCAACCTCAAATATGGATCAGAATATAATACAGATCATGAATATAACGTGGGAAATATGATTTAGGAAGACCACAAATATCTAAATAACAATATTGTACAGTAATATGACATTGCTATATATGTGATTGGGATGGGTTAATTATATTATAGATCAGTGGTCGCCAACCTGTCGATCGCGAGCTACCGGTAGCTCGCGGAGGCAATTCTGGTAGCTATCACAACGATTTTAATTTAAAAAATACAAACTGCAAAAATCGGAGAAGCTTCCGAAAATTCCACAAAAAAATCTAATTGTCATAATATTAAACATAAACAGCGGCAACGTTGAGGTGAGCGATCTGCCGCTGACGCCATCAAGCTAGAATCGGCTAGAACCGACCAGCCGGACCAGCGCGTTAGTGTTCGAGAACGATCAGGATTGCTTTGAACGGGATAAATACGCATGGCGCGGCGACATTGCGCTTAGTTTAAAACTGAACGCGTAACCAACGTCCAGCGGTTGGGTTAGTAGAGAACAAACAAAAAATAATATTATGGCAAGCAGTTGTAAGAAGGTAAAGACATACCACTTTCATTCGGAATGAGAAGAACAATACTTTTTTACAGAAGTTAAAGATAAAAATGTGTGTTTGTTATGTAATACTTCGGTCTCCGTTGCTAAAAAAGGAAATATTGAGAGACATCATAAAACTGTACATTCTAATTTTGAAAAATAATTCCCACTATATTTTGCCGCCAGAAAGGAGAAACTGAAACAGTTAAAAAAGCAGTTAATTGGACAACAATCAATATTTTTAAGAACAGTCGACAAAAATAAGGCTGCAACTGAAGCATCGTACCGTGTGTCCCAGATAATTGCACAAAAAAAGAAACCTTATGAAGACGGGGAAATGATAAAACAGGCGTTTTTAGAAGCTGCTGATTCGTTATTTGCCAACTTTAGAAATAAAGACGAGATAGTTTCAGCTATAAATCTATGCAACTTTCTGCTAATACAGTAATGAGACGTGTAGAAGTAATAAGCAATGATATTTTTTTACATTTAAGAACTGACTTAGATAACTGTGTTTATTTTTCATTTCAACTGGATGAATCAACAGATGTCGTTGACACTGCCTAGATAGGCGTGTTCGTCAGGACACACTACTGGACAGGAGTTGTTTTCTCATTTAAAAAATATTATTTCTTCCGAGAAAATTCCAATATCGAAAATGGTAGGCTTGACAACCGATGGCGCTCCAGCTATGGTGGGATGTGATAAGGGTCTGGTGGCGTTATGTCGTAAAGATGAAACTTTTCCGCAATTTCTCTGTTACCACTGCATTATCCATCAGCAAGCATTATGTGGAAATTTCCTGAAACTAAACAACGTTATGAAACTGGTGGTAAAAATTGTGAACAAGATTAGAGCTCAAGCGTTACAAAGAAGATTATTCGAAACCTTGGCCGATGAAGTAGACTGTCAATACGGGGACCTACTCCTTCACTCTGAAGTCCGATGGTTAAGTAGAGGACGGGTGCTGAAACGTTTTAATGATGTCCTATCTGGCATAGTTGAATTTTTCAAACAACGCGATGAACCGACTCCGGAACTAGAAAATTCAATATGGCTTAGAGATTTTGTTTTCTCGTGGACATTACAGAGAAATTATACGAACTTAATTTGCAGCTTCAGGGGAGAGTCAAAGAACTAGCGGAAATGATTTCTGATATAAAAGCATTTATCAAAAAGCTGGAGTTTTGGGAATAAAACCTAATTAACAGCGATGCCAAGCATTTTCCTATTCTTTCAGAAAAAATATCTCAAAATCCATTAGAACCCTATGACAGCAAATATCATGTAGAAATAGTTTCTACCCTGAAGAATAACTTCAAAAATCGTTTTAAGGATTTCAACGAAATGGCTTTAGTAGCGCAGTTTGTTGTTTCACCCTTTATGAAAATTGATATCCAACAGTTTGCAACTTGTGTTATGCAGAACTTTGGCGAAGACATCGCTGCAATAGAAATGGAAGTAATTGAGTTTTAAAATGATTTAGCCTTAAAATCGTTAGTCTCAAGTACCAAATGTATCTGACCTATTGTAAGTAAAGACAAATATTCAGTTCTATGCCGTGTTGCCTTGAAAGTGAAAGCATTATTCAGTTCAACATATTTGTGTGAATCTTCTTTTTCCAATAAGAAGTTTATTAAGAACAAATATTGCAATCGACTTACAGATGAACATTTTGATAATTGTATCAAATTATACTTCAAACATTAAAAAAATTATCGATGAGTCTGAGTGTCAGCCTTCTCATTGAACGTGCTTTTTTATTTTTCAATGTTTATGTTCATGATAGTGCGTTACTTTTTTGTTGTTATTATTAACTATTTTTAAATCTTACGTGACATGCCGTTGTGGCTGGGTAAAAGTTAGTGTTTATTTTTCAAACACCTTCGTTTGGTAGGTAGAAATGTAGCTATGAACAAGTACGTACTAGTAATATTAGTTATTTTGTTATTAGTTTATTATTAGTACCTATGTATTATGTATTACCAGTTAAATAGTAAAATAAATACATATGATAAATTAACTGTGGATTATTTCATTTACGTTGCGTTACGTGGCTTCCGTGTGTGTAGCTCGCTGTTTATTCCAAAATTAACAAAGTAACACATTGAAAGGT